TGATACTTTCATGAAGAGTTGTAGGTACTTATTTTGTTGCTGACGCCTGTTGTAGTGTTCACGGTAAATTATCCCATAGAAATATTAAATAATACCCTAAAGGCTTTTATATATTGAGGCTTTTTTAACTTAATTTCTTCTCCTTGAACTATCTCTCTTTTAGTGTTTATTTCACCGCTTTTTCGTATCTTAATCGGAGCGACAGACAGACCTTGTGGAACTTACCTAGTCCTCCACCATAGTAACCATGATGATTTCCGGCATCGGACCCTTGACTTGGTACTCTTTGAGACCTTTCGCTGGCATCATCGGTGAGAGACGCCATTCTTAGCACGGAGTTACAGCTTATCAAAGTGACGAATGAAGGGAAAAATTTATGTTTAACCGATGTGGCACCACTACTTGTCCCTACTTGCTATCCTATCTTCTAGAAGCTAGCTTCTACCAGCATTTTCAGTCAGTTAAGGCTTTAGGCACCAATGCAGTCGATTTAATGTAGGAAGCCACCTAGGCCTGACTGCTAATTACCAATAATTTTGAGTCTCTAATTAACCTTAAGTTAACAGGGTGACCGACATCTCAGATTGAATAGTTGAGTTGGATTTGGCTGGCTCTAACAAGCGTACTAGCAGGTAAGAAGTTAATAAGAATAGTGCAGCAAATCAGTGCAAAAGATAGTTTCTAGAAACTAGGACAATAAATAGGGATGAGGAGTGAAATCACAACGGTTGAATATAAAATTGGTCAGGGAGATTGCCTTCACTTGTCACTTTGATAAGTAGTTACTCTGTGCTAAGCATAGCGCCTCATTTACGATGTCGGCGAAACATTTATGAATGTATCAAGTCAATGGTCTAATGCTGAAAATCACCAGAAAACAACGCAAGACTAGTTATGCCGTATAAGGTATCCCTGTCGCTCCGACTAACTTGCGAAAACGAGGTCAAATCATTAATATACAGCTAGAGGAAACTGCGACCAAACAAAAGGCCACACCATCTTGATCTTCACATTAATTTCTCTTTTAGCCGTTTGTGTATAACTTTAAGAGTATTTACAATTTGCGCTACTGTAGGTATGTTCTCCCATTTTAGCGCTTACCCCTTATTCATGACATAATGTTTGTCCCCCGACAGGATTCCTTACTTCCTATAGGTTCTGACAGTGCATCCGTTGACTCCCCAGAGCTAGCCCCTTCGTTTCCGCGTGAAATTTCCTTCGTTCTCCCCGCTGAATCTGTATCGCCTCAGTCTACAACTGATGCTATGACCGTTTGTTCGACCGGCCTTGACGCAGTGAGCCAACATCTTACAGGGCCTAATAGAGGGCTAGGATTTGATGCATTTCGGAGCACTGTGAAGTTGGTGGCCACTGGATTCATCTCAACTGGTCAGCTCAAAGAGGGTGTGGAGTTGCTATGTATGATCGGCTTGCATGCCGATGCTTGTCGCTACCTGGAAGCCAATGAACAATGGGCCTTTGCAGTCGAACTTGCCAAGGTGAGAGGTCAATACTAGGTGTTGGATGCGAGCAGGAACTAACATATATAGTGTTGGCTATTCCAACTGTGACTTTCTTCACGATTCTTCGTCATTATTATATTATGCCTCTAAGCTTTTAAAAATGCTTGATTTCACTAGCTTACGATGTTAAAATATGGGAAAATGGCTAATATTAATCCGAAAAGCGTTAATGATTAATTTTATTCAACCTATGCTTTCTCTTTTGAAAATAGGTTGCACCCAAAGTTTTAGAATGAGTATATTTACTTCCTTATTTGATTAATTTGTCCGATGCCTACTATTAATTTATATTTTGTAATGTCAGGGATTTTTCAAACTTATGCTAAAATAGATAATTAGAATGCAAAATTATCTTCTCAGAACTCGTATTAATTTTGCCTTAGTGTGCAAGAATTCCATTGTAAAAAGGTTATTGCCATCTGCAATTCCCACGCCATTTTCATGGTTTGTTTTCTGCGAAGCGAATCAAATTTAGATCAACTATTTACTTACGCATATTTGCGTTTGCTATAATTTTGATGAACATTTTAGAATAACTCCATTTGTGATGCCTTTTAATATTTGTTGGTGAATAAACTATCCCTTTAAGTGAGTGATTTAGAATGCACATCCGTTTGCCTTCATAAAAATTTCCCCCCTAAATCCTAAAGATCAATTGATCTATCTATTTCACCCCAAAAACAGGATGATTATCTTTAAATTATGTTATTAGTTTACTCAATCTTTACATTTATATTGCCTCCTATTTAGTGCACCTTGCCAGAAGCATTGGCTAACAACTTACTTCGTCGATGGGCTGCTCATCTTTCATC